TTCGATTTTCTCTTCCTCTCTTTCTTATATTGCTCTTTTCCCACCTCTTCCCCTCTCCACGGCGAAACACTCCCACCTCCTTCCTGTCTCCATGGCGGAACACTTTCACCACCTCCCCTCTTCACGGTATTTTTCCCTCTCATCCTCTCCAACGACGACGGCGGAATCTTAACTTCTTTTTTCTTCCGGCGGCGAAGCTTCGGGTTGAGCGAGAGAGCTTAGGGTCTTCTCTTCCTCTCCCTTCCAGCAGCAGTGTTCTCCGATAACAAGGTTAGTTATATATTTTTGGTATATTTTCATTATTTGAATGTTAGAAAAAAATAGTTGAATTCTTGTAAATTAGTTAGTAAATTATTCTTGTAAATTTTTCACTTTTTTTTGAAAAAGTTTTACTTTTTTCGAAATTAGTGTTTGGCCATAAAATTTTCAATTTTCTCTTGAAAATGAATTTTAGAATTTTTCAAGAATTTAAAAAACTCCAAAAAGCTGTTTTTCAAAATGTTCAATCAGATCACTCACAAAAATTTAAAAACAACCCAAAATTATATTCATGTCCGAACACAACTCTAATTTTCAAATACCATTTTCCCTTGAAATTCTTTTTCTCTTTTTTTGGAATTTTACAATTTTTATGTCCAAATGCCCAGTTATAGAATTTGCAAAACTTCCTTCACTAATACCACACCAAAGCTGTAGACATCACTCTTGACATTCAGTTTTGACGTAGATGCAAACTCTTAAATTTCAAGAATAAGAAACATAACTCGTATTCTAATAATGAGATATACCTGGTGCAAGGTTACAAAACGTGCCAGCGATAGCAGAAGCAGTCTCCGTCTCTCCCCACTTAGCCAAAACCTTAGCCAGTCCAAAATCTGCAATTTTGGCATTCAATTCATGGTCTAAAAGGATATTGCTACACTTAATGTCGCGATGAATGATTGGTGGGGAGCACTCGTGATGCATGTATCATAGAGCTCCAACTGCAATTTTGCAGTCTAGTATTCCATTCCAAGACAGAATGTGCTGAAGCAGTAATAGCTTTTTCACTTATTGATCTCTTGTGATGAAGCCACTTGTCTAAGCTTTGATTTTCCATGTACTCACCTAATAATTCAACCAAAGACCTAATGTTCTTAATCTTAAAATTCCAGCTATAGTGGGTAAACCCGGTCCCCAGAAAATTTGTTATCACTTCTAGGCTATGTTACTCGGACTCTTCAAAAATATTATTGGGTGCGTGTCGGATCCTTCAAATTTAGTGCATTTTTGAAGGATCCGACACGGGTGGGGCAGCACTTTTGGAGAGTTCGAGCAACATAGCTTCTAGGCTTTTTGAGTCCATATATAATTGGTGGAATTATTCCAGTAAGTTGTTTCTCTCCGAGATGGATGCTTGTCAGAACCTTTTCTGCATTCTACACAAATCAATTGCAATATGAGGTATAGGAATTCAACGACTCGAATCCTAACTGATTTCCCCATAGTTGCTTCAGCTCTAACAGAATGCTCTTCTCATTTTCTTATATGTTACTTTGTAAACCGGCCTCCAAATGTAGAAGAACAAGTATGGAAAGACTAAGGGTGTGTTTGCTACGAAGGAAAAAATATTTTCCGGAAAATATTTTCCGGAATGTTTGGTTGGCTTAAATATTTTGAAAAATATTTTTCTCATGAACTCATTTTCATCCAATTGGAGAAAAATATTTTCCCTATCAAGAGAAGGAAAAATATTTTCTAAAACTCCTTTTTAACTTTCTTCACCCTATTCCCTATCCCCATCAACCCACACAACCCCAACCTAACCCCC